AAAAAGGGACGTATTTAGGACATCCCTGTGTTGTTAGAGGTCTAAAGTATCTCGAATCTCGCATGTATTATTCGTTTCAGCATTAGTTAGAAAGGCACGTGCCCCAACCTTCCACAAAAAACACGGCCACGGGGGTGGTCTATTCGGCGGTGGCAACAACTATGTCACCAACATCAACAATTCCGGTCCCCCGGGTCCCCACGGGCCTCCGATAGGCCATGGATCCGGCCCTGAAGGCGGCAGTTTTGCAGGAAGCAGCGCGTTCGCAGGAGGCCATGGACCAAGTTCTGCGCAGAGCCAGTCTGCGTCGCTGTCGCTGGGACCGTTTTCGGCATCCTTTTCACAGAGCCAGGCGCAGAGTGGAGGGGGAAGGAGAGGGGGCATTTTCGACTAGTTAGTATTAGGACTGGGCGATATTGGATTTCACATATCGATTATCGATAAGTCAAAACATATCGATAAGTATCTATAGGGTGTAAGTAAATAAGTGTAAAACATTTAACGGGGTGATTCCTCATCGAGAAAAAGATAGAATCTTTTAAATGAAGAAACTTCATTGGAGCATCCAATGTTAAGATACAGCCCTTTGAAGGGGGTACATAAAACAACAACAATTTTAACAATTTTTTTTCATAAGCACTAAAAAAGTTTCAATATTGAAATTGACCTGACATTTTATGGTTTAATCCCTTTGATCATTCAACGCAGATATAGTAACTACAAAATGACAATAAATCCAGTTCGCATTTTATGTATCTCTTTAGTTGATCGTAAAATATTTTTTTGCTGCCAACTGGTTTATTTTGGGCAAGAAATTCAAGGGACATTTTTTGTTGAGAATGAAACAGGCTATCGGGAATAAATTACTGGCTAAGTGTCTTTTTGGTAGTAGAAAATGTCAGGTCAATCTCAATACCTTATTTTTTTAGTGCTCGTGAAAAAAATTGTTGAACAAATTCTATATACCCCCTTCAAGGGGCTGTATCTTAACATGGGATGCTCCAATGAATTTTCTTTATATGAAAGATCCCATCTTTTTTCGATGAGGAATCAGCCCCTCAAATGTTTTACACTTATTTAGTTATATCGATAAATACGACAAATATCGATATATGGAAATATTGGGATACTGATAACCATCGATATATAATAAGGATTATAAAGTTATCGATACTTATATCGATAACTATCATTTCGTCTCAACATATCGGTAAAAATAAACTCATTTCAATTGTGTGACTCTTAGAAGCTTCCGTGATATCCAGATAAAAGTTATACAGGGTGTCCTGAAATTAGGCGCAAAAAATCAAGGGGGTGATTCTACATGATGATATAAGAATTTCATTTCATATGTACGTGGGTCCGGAAATGCATAGTTTTCAACATACAGTGTGTAAAAACCTCTAAAATAGTTCGGTTTTTTATGAATATCTCTAATGTCCTTCCACCGGTTTTCCTGAAATTTGGCAATGATATTTCTTGTCATGAGGGGCTGATATAGCGATAATTCGATCGGAATTATGAAAGTCAGTGGCGTCCCAGGGGGCTACCTACCGAATATTATTGTCAATAAAATGTGCGCCACTGATTTTTTGAATTATTTATCTTCATAACCTATTGACCAACTAAAAGTACAACTTTTTGGTCTCCTGAATTGTTCTGAAAATTTGCTTCATTTCCATGGAAAAAAATAAATACCAATTTATTGCATGAATTTGTGCCAAAAAAATCCTTAAAAAATTGGGCTGAAAATAAATGCGTGATCAATGTCCATAGACATAGAATAAGTATAAAGATTCATTTTCTTCAAATATTTCTTGATACATGTTTGACACACTCTACACTCTGTATATAGAGAACTATGTATTCTCGCTCCAGGGAGGCGCAGTTTTCGATAATACAAAGTGTGTCAAATATGTAATATGGAATATTTGAAGAAAATGAATCTTCAGTCTTATTCTGCGTCTATGGACATGAATCACACATTTTATTTCACCCCTGTTTTTGAAGCTTTGTTTTGCACAAATTTATACAATGAATTGGTATTTATTTTTTTCCACGGAAACGCAGCAAAATTGCAAAATAATTCAAGAGACCAAAATGTTGTAATCTAAGTTAATCACTAGGATATGATGATAAAGAATTTGAAAAACTCAGTGGCGCACATTTTATTGACAATAATATTCGGTAGGGAGCCCCCTGGACGCCACTGGATTTCACAATTTCAATTCATTTTTGGCTAGATCAGCCCCTCATGACAAAGAATATCATTGCCAAATTTAGAGAGAATCGGTGGAAGGATATATTTGAGATATTCATAAATAACCGATTTTCTCTAAAAAGTTCGACACACTGTATCTTGAAAACTATGCATTTCCGGACTCGAGAATATATGAACTAAATCTCATGTTTTCTCATGCAGAATCACCCCCTTGATTTTTTGCGCATAATTTCAGGACACCCTGTATATAATGCCGTACAGTAACACAATTTCGTGAACAATAAAACTATCTGAAATATTCAGAACATCGTGATTATGTTGAGAAAAAATTGATAGTTATAGATATATCGATAACTTTATAATCCTTCTACATATATCGATGGTTATCAATATACCAATATTTCGATATATCGAAAAATCGATAGTTATAGATATTTCTATATATCGATTTTTTTCCCAGGCCTACTATATAGTATGCAATAATTATGCATTTTATATTAAATGAGTGCAAGAGAAGTCTCGTCAAAATCGTTCGAAATTCTGGTGAAGATTCATAATGAAAAAACACTGGAAGCTGCAAAAAATTTTTTAGACTGTGTATTTTTCGAACTTGTTTTTTATATACGGGGAACGTCTGTCGTTTCATCGATATACAGTGATGAATACCGAAAGGAAATTTGGGGTAATGGGGAGGCAGAAAGTAAATTTTGCCAACTCGTATTTTTAAATTGTCCAATTATTTTCGTTTTGGACAAACAATTAATAATGCGAATTGATCATATCCTATAGCGAGGTGAAAAAATATAGAGCATATTTATATTTACAATACGATATTTTCTCTTCAGTATTAGCTAATTTCGAAATCCCGATTTTGAACTGGGAATACACTGTGATAAAAAAAAAATAATTTTTTATGACCTCATATACAGGGTGTCCCGAAATTAGCCTGCCAAACTTCACCAGCGGCTTTTACTACCAAAAATAAAAAGAAAACTTCCAATGAACATGAGTCGAGAAACGTCTCCTAAGGGAGCTACGGCCCCCTGGAAGGGGGCTCCTGAAGATGATATTCCTTGAATATTTCTGAAACTCCATGTAATAAAAAGATGCAATTTGGTACAAGAACTAAAATTTCCATGCCGAATGCAGTAAAAATGAAATTATTTCAAAATTTCAATCAGGAGTGTATAATACAGGGTGGGACTACATTAAATATTGCTCAAAATTTTTTGTATGCATATTGTTCGACAATTCAATCTCGGATTATGAAATTTCACACCTATTTACAGAAAAAAGGTACTCGTGTTCCGTGACGATCAGATGTATTATTATCGAGTAAAAGCAATTTAAAAATATTGTTACATCTCAGATATCATGACTAACATTGCAATGAGGCGTAGTGAAAATGGAAAAAAATGAACAAAAATTGAAGTAGTAATTTCATCATTATTTTTCTATTTTTTGCGCTTTCATGAGATTGTTTGGTAAAAAGAGAGTACTTTATTTTTTTAAAGCCACTATGATTTGAAAATTGACAACGTTATGCATAAGATGTGAGTGCATCAATATTTTCAAATCGATTTCTCTCGAAGATGATATATCTGATCGATGCGGAACCAGAGCACCTTTTTTTTGTGGAATGGTGTGAATTTTCATAATCCGAGATTGAATTGTCAAAAAATATGCATACGAAAAAGTTTGAGCAATATTTAATGTAGTCCCACCCTGTATTATACACTCCTGGATGAAACTTTGAAATTATTTTATGTTCACCGCATTTGGCTTGGTGAGGTTAGTTCTTGTACCAAATTGCATCATTTTATCACGTGACGTTTCGGAAATATTCAAGAAATATCATCTTCAGGAGCCCCCTTTCAGGGAGCCGTAGCTCCCGTAGGACACATTTCTCGACTCATGTTCATTGGAACTTTTCTTCCTATTTTTGGTCGAAGAAGCCGCTGGTGAAGTTTGGCAGGCTAATTACGGGACACCCTGTATATATATATTCGGACATTCAGAGTACGCAGTTGGAAATCCTGGGTTTGCACAGAAAGTATTATAATTTTCAGATTAAAATCTGTAAGTGCGAATTTCATTTTCCGAATTTAAACTTGATATTTCCAACTCAAAATTCGGAATTTAAATTTTTCGACTTCTAGCTCCAAATTCTCTACTCATCAGTCGAAAAGTTCGAGTATGTAGTTGGAAGTCCGTAGTTTGCACTAGAAATGTAGGTAACCTCCCTACCTTCATGTTTGAACTTACGACTACAAAATATAGAAATTTTATATTTTTGAAGTTAGAAATTCCTAGTGTGAAGCCGGAAAAACAAATATATATTTACCATGAAACCTTTTTTTGGGAAACTTACCCAAATACCTCACTCGCCCAAGATGGGGGGGGGTGAATCCCTCCCCCAGCCCCTACCCCCATGGGCCCGTCCCTGTGATATATATTTTTTAAATGGATTACCAAACTTTTCAAGCGAAATTTGAATGGGGGTATCTCAGCAATTTCGTCATATCATCCAAACGCAAGCAGTTCAGCCTGTATATATGGGAAAATTGTGGAAATACACCAATGCGAAAAAATACTTGACGCGTTTCGGCATTTTGAGTTTCCAAAATATTCGCTAGAATTTTGAATGAATTTGTAGCCAGATACTTATTATTTATTCTTGGATTGAGCCTATTCCTGTATTTTCACAATAAGAGCAATTTAATGAAGTGAGACGCACTAAGTAAAGGATATATAGGTATAGGTTATTTAATTTGGACGACCAATTCAAATTTTATTTATTGTTGAAAACATGAATTAATAATAAATGAGCACTTGGCAATAACAAGAATATTTTCTATCGCATTTTTGTATGCAGATCGCTAAATATATATATGGGACAAATATAGTTCATGAAATCAATTTCAGTTCACATTCATTCACTGGACTATAAGATAGAAAACCCTTCATAATTTGATTTTCGAGAAATAATAATAAAAAAGACCACTCGAATTATAAACAGTACAGGTCATTTAATCTCTTCTCAACTATATATGGTCTTAGGATATCTATTATTTTTCAATCAATGTCGATTATTATCACAATGGAATAAAACATTAATTTTTTATTTTTCAGCTTTGATTACTAGTCAGAATGTGATATCAGAATGACGAAATCCTAACTGAAGTGGAGCAGAGTAAGTATATTTATTTATGATAGACGTTTAAAAAATGAATAAAAATTATATAGAAGTGTAAATATAAATATATATTTTTCAACAACAATGGGTATCTATATCCTTTTTAATATGAGTTCTCAACTCACTTTCACAAACAAACAAGGTGTTTCATGAAGCCATCAACAATTTCAAGGAATTAGTGGATGACTAGAAGAAATTAATTATTACATTTCATAAATGGAACTAAATTGATTCCACACAATATCATCAAAAAAATAATAAAAAAGATGCTTCAAGTACCAGAAAGTAATTAAGGAGTTTACTTACTATAATCATAATATCAGTTGATCAGTCAATAATCATAAAATCACACAAAATTATTTCACAGATAACGAATAAAATATCATGGAATGGCCTTGTCAAAAGTATGTAGGTATATAATCTGATTTAGGTACATACGTTTGAAACTTCAATATATACACTTGTACCTACATATAATACTCCAAATCAAGATCTTCGTAAAAAAATATAAGAACGAAGTATTCTAATTCAGATCGCTCTTGAGTTCAATATTTGAAGAAGCAATTCAAATAATTTCACTAGCTGTACATATATACCTTTATTCATTATCTGTATAAATTGACTTGATATCTTTCTGTGAACTCTTCAAATCATCTTCAACACCTAAAGTAATGTAGCTCATGTCATCATTTTGCAAAATTTGCCTTCGTTTGCAACAAAGATAGATCACAGTTAAAATAGTCATTGATATAACAATAATGTATGTCAAAGTGAACATCCTATAATACCACTTTTCTGACAAAACTTCTGATAAAATATGCACTGGATAACAGTAGGAATCTGTACTGGATGTCCGCACGATTTTGGCATCACCATAACACTCGACACAATTCGAATCTAGAGAACCAATGCAGTTTTTACAAGAATAGTGACAGGGTAGACAAGTTTCGTCTTTCGACAGGTTCTGAATTTTTCTACTCTCGTCATATTCGAGTATGCTGTTGAAATATTTCTCTGGACACATCTGTATGCATATTCTTTGGTATAGATAGTGATTTTGTAGACATTCTGTAATAAATAATAAATGAAAATAAATATAACCATTTGTATCATTCAATCCAACTGTTGAAGGTTAGACATTGTTGAAGCTCCCACACTACCCTAATGATTGTTGAAAGTCAAATTCCTCAATCAAAATTTTGCCTATCAGAAGCAACAGGCAATTTACATGAATAAAAACAAGTGACCTTCTTTCATTGATCAATATATTATTTACGTAGGTACTTACCATTGATTAGTTTTAGTGAGGTAGATAAAAATAATTATAGCCTTAGATATAATTTATGGATACAAAAATATTGTCCAAGGGCATCATTATTTTTATAGAAACAAAGATATAGCCATGGATGAAAAATATGAAAAATATAAATATTGTTAGCACAATACATGAATGTAAGGTAAAAAAGTGAGGGGAAGAGTAATCATCTTCAACTCAAGAAACCATATTTTAAAATAATTCAGAAGGGGTTTTCTGAACTAGATCGACATGTGCTATAATTTCAAAATATGTTGTTGAGTTGAGAATGATTCGACTGCAAGTTTATAATTACAAATAATGAGAAACATCGAAGCTCGATTTCAGCGTTGTATGTTTTTAATCTAAATTTGAGTTCAATGAAAGTATGAAACTGAAAAAAAGCGGACGTAAACTGAAAAACTGATACACAGAAAAACCACAAATCTGACAACAATTTGACACAATAAAAAACATGCAATCTAGATGAAAGAACTTACCACGAAATTTTCATTAGGAAATCAAATTGGTCTAAACGCTCTCCTCTAGTCGCACTGGAAACCTAGTCTTCAAAAATGCACACAACTACTGGGTATAGAAAAAAATATAGAAACATAGTTTTGCCACATTTTTATTTCGTATAGATTACAAATTATTCAGTTACATATAACATATTAGTAATTTGCACAAAAACGTTGAATTTGGCATTCTTTAGTTAACGGAATTTGATAAGACTGAAAAAAAAAGGAAGACATTTACTGCAGAATTGCGAATCAAAAAATAATGCCCATAATGGTATTCCCAGCGATACGAATATGAAGTGAAGAAGAAATATACATTATTTATGAACCATATTATGTGTTAACAATTTATGAGCAACACAAATACCTTTCAATATTATGAAATTTGGATCATCATTCCTTATATTGAACTGAAGTATTCAATACAAATGTTTTGTTATCAGATACAAAAACAGAAGTACTTAATTTCAAGCAATGAGTTCGACGAATATCATATGGTTCACATATTCTACCAAGTCTAGTAACATTGATTACCAAATTCAAAGTATCAACGCATATACTGTACTAATAAGTGTTTCAATAAAAAGTGATGGACACAAATAATCTGAAAGGGACTTGCTTATAAAAGAGTTAGGCCACAGACTTCAATTATACATACCTATACAACATATAACCAAGACAAGGACATTTAGGACACACACATCTACATATTCGACACTCACATTCTCACAATTGAGCTTTCGTTACTGGAATATGCATTTTAAATGAGATTTCTTCAATCAATTATTATAATATTTATTGAGTATTTGAGATATTGCAGTCCTTTCCTTTTTTACATTGAACTAAACGACTATCATAATCCGATATTTGGGACTACTTCGATCATATGGAAAAAAATTAATAGTAATGGGCACTGATAGCCACTGTCGCAATCTAGCTGAAATTATATAACATAAATATATATACACACGATATACAAAATTGATAAATTATATGCCTTACGAGTACCTCTAACTATCACATTCATTTAATTTTTCATTTGTTTCACCCCAATTTCACTAGTTCACCGATTTCTTGTATATTAATAATTATTGTCATTAATATATGCCATCTTTTCATTCGATTTTTTTTAGTTACCACTCATCTCTATGAATAATTTCGGTCACCTAAGAATATTTAAAATCATTGACGCCGGTTACACGATAAGATACTTTGAATATAACTCCAAATATTTTTTGTTATGTTTCTCTTCATTAGAGAAAAATTGTTTCGTATGCTTCAAAATATAAAATTACTACCTGTAGTGAATATGAAGATTACTAGTTGCCACAAGAACGAAAAAAATAATTATTTGGATGCAGAATGCTGAGAGAAGTTTGATTTGAACCTGAAGTGATCTATGCTATTGTACATTTTCTTATGAAAAAGGTTCCATATCAATGTTATTTTTTCTTTTCGTCACATAAAATGCTTCAACTGTCGAATAACCTCCAATTCAAAGAAGTTTTTTATTAGCTGTGATCTACCGTTTGATTATTTTTATACCTCACTTTTTTCTTGAAATAAAAAAAAATGTTTTCGTGTGTAAATTGAGAAAAAAAAGGCTATATTATTATAAACGATCGAATTTTACAAAAACGTTTCAACGTTGTGCACCCTGTATATATAAAAACGATATTAGTGTTCACTATTCTTTTCTGATATATCCTTGCCACTTTGGGTTCTGAAATTCCGGCGCCAGAATATAATAAGTATAACATATACTTCAGTCAATGTACGCCCAATAAGGGGGTGTAGAGAACATGGAAGAAAGAGGACAGTTTTTCTGATGTGAGCCAAATGCAGGCGGGTGCGAAGTAGAATCTCCCTTTTTTCGATTTTTGATTCATCGCTGAACGGTACGTCACGGCAAAAAAGTCAATCCATTCAAAATTGTAGATGATGAAATTGTCTACAAAATTGTATCAGTAGGTTTCTTCCTATATTTCATAGTTATATCGAGATATGCGATAGCGAATTATGTAAATTTAATTTTTCAGAACTGAACTTTTTTTCAGGAAAAATATGACTAGTTAGTGAGTTGGACGTCCTCATTACGAAACCGTGATTTTCAACCTATCTTTCCTCCTAATATCATTTTCCGAAAATGTGGTTGGTTCCATGGGTGTTGGCGAGCAGTGTATATCACTGAAGGTGACTCTAATTGGTCATAGTGTGTATATTTGGTTATCTCCCACACCAGAAGTGCTTCCATTAGAAATGAGACACTATATAATATATGTATGTATTGTTAGTGATGAAGTTCAAACCACCCTGTAAATGGCAAGAAAGGCTAAGATATGCCTTGCCTTATCAGAAGCTGACGATTCATCGGTATTCGTAAAATATCATCATGCGATGTGACATAATATATCGTAGGTAATTGAATCCTTTGCGACTTCTACGTCGAAGACTTTGAAGAAAAACTGATTTTTTTCGACATTCTTCTGGATGACCAGGTGGCTGTACTGTAATCTCCATACTGCCCCCTTTGGGCTATTGGCACTTTGCCTTCTTTCATTTTTACAAAAAATCAATCCCATCAGTTTTTATAACTATAAAATCGTAACATTGCGGTTGTCCTTTCTTTCACTTCCACAAATTTCTTTAATAATGCTGCTGATGATGGACTATTGATAGTCCAAAACATGTTCAGATATTCCAGATATGTACTAATAAATTTGTGGAGGTGACTTAGAGTGTGTCTTGTTGGCGACATTTATTAACCCCACTTGAGAAAATACGGACTTCTACCATAGATTGAAAAACTGAGTGCTGAACCGTCAAAATACGCTAGTTAAAAAAAGCGATATTCAAAAATGAACATGATTCGCTAGCGAATATCTCGAAAACAATCAAAGATAGAGAAAAAAATATACTGATACAACTTTGTAGACAAAAATTCATCAGCTACAATTTTGAATGGATCGACTTTTTTGCTGTGATGTATACCGTTCTTGAGATATGAACGATAAATCCAAAAAGGAACCGCTTGTTAAAAAAAGCGATATTCAAAAATGAACATGATTCGCTAGCGAATATCTCGAAAACAATCAGAGATAGAGAAAAAATATACTGATACAATTTTGTGGACGAAAATTCATCAGCTACAATTTTGAATGGATCGACTTTTTTGCTGTGACGTACCGTTCTTGAGATATGAACGATAAATCCAAAAAGGAACCGCTAGTTAAAAAGAGCGATATTCAAAAATGAACATGATTCGCTAGCTAATATCTCGAAAACAATCAGAGATAGAGAAAAAATATACTGATACAATTTTGTGGACGAAAATTCATCAGCTACAATTTTGAATGGATCGACTTTTTTGCTGTGACGTACCGTTCTTGAGATATGAACGATAAATCCAAAAAGGAACCGCTAGTTAAAAAAAGCGATATTCAAAAATGAACATGATTCGCTAGCTAATATCTCGAAAACAATCAGAGATAGAGAAAAAATATACTGATACAATTTTGTGGACGAAAATTCATCAGCTACAATTTTGAATGGATCGACTTTTTTGCTGTGACGTACCGTTCTTGAGATATGAACGATAAATCCAAAAAGGAACCGCTAGTTAAAAAAAGCGATATTCAAAAATGAACATGATTCGCTAGCTAATATCTCGAAAACAATCAGAGATAGAGAAAAAATATACTGATACAATTTTGTGGACGAAAATTCATCAGCTACAATTTTGAATGGATCGACTTTTTTGCTGTGACGTACCGTTCTTGAGATATGAACGATAAATCCAAAAAGGAACCGCTTGTTGAAAAAAGCGATATTCAAAAATGAACATGATTCGCTAGCGAATATCTCGAAAACAATCAGAGATAGAGAAAAAATATACTGATACAATTTTGTGGACGAAAATTCATCAGCTACAATTTTGAATGGATCGACTTTTTTGTTGTGACGTACCGTTCTTGAGATATGAACGATAAATCCAAAAAGAAACCTTCTACGTCGGCCCCTGCACATGGCCCACCTTGTAAGTTCAGAGACTCTTGAAAGTTTTACTCCATATCTACTCCGAACATATCCCTAGTCATCGTTCATTGACTGAACTAATAGCTGTTTCAAGTAATTAATTGATGCAATGAAATAGACCCAAATTGGAAGTGGCAGTTCGTTCAAAAATTCTTAAAGTTTATCCATTATAATAATCAGTTCATGCTTTGTAATATGTGAAATCAGCAATAACAGGGTAGAAATAGTGATAAAATGCATTTTCAAGTCACTTTCAACATAATAAATATTTTGTGACCTCCCAGTCCGAATATCTCTTAAAGTAATGGTTAACATTTTTTTCAGGAACTAATCATCAAGAAGTTAATAACGAAAAATAAAACAATAAGTCTCTCGATTTATGTACAAAAAATAATCACAGTAAATATTACCTAACACAAAATTCAATATAAATATAGTACAAATGGTGGCATTTTTTTTGTTTCTAAGAATATTATTGGTACATCGGGTAATTGCACTTATATTGTAAGTCTAAAAATTACTGCTCTACCACAATGTTTCTTCTGTTTTATCCCAATGAAATCATAGGAATTACATGTTTTCGAATTTTTAATTTGGCACATTCTTATAAAAAGTGTTATTTTTATATAAAAAAGATTTTAAACGTTGTGTAAATTAGGAAACAAAAATCAAATCAGAAGCAAAAACTCCCTCTACGACCTCTCAAAAATAACATAGCCATGATAAACTTTATCTTTGCTGCAAGAAAAAACTCAAAACTATGAACTAGTTTTAACTAAAGGCACGTTTTATTTATCCAAAATTTCCTATAGCCTTTTCGTTTTATTGCTATGCGAAAATAATAAGATAACAAACCCGTATAGCACTCATAGTAGTATGAAAAATAATGCAGACATTTTCAAAATTACCTGTCCTTGTGCTACCCACATTTGAAAAAATGTTATAAAAATGATTTAAGTAAATGGCAGTCAAGTATTATATCATACTTCTGTTGATTCACTATCCATAAAAACAAATTCAATATCAATAAAAATAAATATCTGGCATTATCAACAAAAACCATTTTTAAGTAACTATCAGGTACAGTAACGGGGATGAAATTTTGACGACAGCCCAGTTCCTTGGAAAACATTTGTGGAAATGACTTCGAGCTTTTTTTCTATGTATTTAACCTTTCATTCCACTTTGAGCATTGTGGCTATTTCCTATTTGATTTTTTTTACATACTATCATCTGCGTTATGTGGAGTTGTGTCTATTTATTCTTAAAATAGCCTCATTCTCGTTTCACAACCAATATGGAGCACCGTCAGACACATTTCAATCTAGTTCAATCAAAGCTAAAGGAAAAATCGGTAAATAGGAAGTTGCTATATTTGCTGATTTGTCCACCATTTATTTTGAATGTTGCCGACTTACTTTGTGTTTTTATACCTTGGAGCCGATATAAAGGGCGCCGTATATTATGCTATTTCTCGGCAAGTTTGAGGCAATGCAATTTTCTCGCAATTTTCTCAATTTATTGCGAGTCGCCGTACATTGAGATGTTTCTGTCATATTTTCTTATTCATATTCACTATTTTCAGGTTTTTTGAGCCTTCAATGTACTTTTTGAGGTTATTTGGTGTTTCAGGCCACGTTATGGAGAAAATTTGTATTTTATCAAGATGCTACGATGACTTGCCGTGAAATATCATAGACGCATGCGCATTGTTCGATTCAAAATTGCATTGCATCGAACTTGCTGGTAAATAGCATAATGTACGGCGCCCTTAGGTATAGGAGATATCATCAAATTTGTAGGAATATGAATAAAATACTAAGAGAATATAGATAATTACCATACACATGGTCTATGAAGAGTGTGATTCTAGAGTTCAGCAGTTCATAACATATGAAAATTAATCATTTGTTTGATTTAAGATAATCTCCTGTGGAGTTGAAAAATACTCATGTTAAAATCTTTTTATTATTGATTCTCAGTTTCGATTTTTGATTTTCAGTTTCGATTTTAGATTTTTAGTTTTTGTTTCTGAGATAGTCCTGCTCCTTCCCATGTAATTTTCAGTTGAATATTTGAACTCATCAACTTGTTCCAAAATAGCTGATGAAAAATCAATCATCAATCAAAAATACTTGATATATTCAATGAAACTTGAACTTGTTTATATATCAGGGTCCAATTTTATGAATATAATTAAATAAATACCCACGCAATATCAAGTTTCTCGAAGTTTATAAATAGTATTCGATAATTCAAATGGAAAAATAATAGTATAGCAACTGTTGGAAGACTTGGGGAAAAGGGCTATCTTTCGTCAAATATCCCAGAACCGTACAACTACATTCATTATATAATATATGGGAGATTTTCAACAAAAAATGTTACATAAACAATACCTTTCTGACTGGAAATTAAATAAAGAAAATAATGTATCTAAGTCATCAAGACACTCACATCTTGAATTCTGTACAGCCGTTTGTGTATATTATTTATGCTCCGACTGGAAACATCTTCAGAATGTATTAATTGTTTTGCTATGGGAAACATATTTCGGCTTAGATCACTCAAGTATCTGTGAAAATTGTTGTCAGAATTTTGTTGGTCTAGAATAACTTTTCTGAAAGTATTGATTTTTGCGGGCTTTTTGATTTGAGCACCTACTTTTCTATAGAACATATGTGCGTGATTCGTCAAGATTAGTAAATATATGGGAGTTAGTAGAATAGTTGAGGAATGAAAATCAAATGAATAGGTGTACAGGATCAAAACAAAACATAACAAACCTATACACAAATTCCCATCAGGTTTTGCACACCCAGACGTACTTTTTTCAGTTTCTTCTACTTCCAAGGTTTCCTTACGATTCTGAAACAACAGATAGGAGTTTTGACAGTGAATCAGAATACTATAATATTCAGTATACAAGGCGATTCATTTTTATTTCCGGAAACTTGAGCAGAATGCTTCGGTTTTCGTGTCATATGGTATTTGTGGGCAAAGATGAACTATATAGGCCTGTATTTATAGTCGCTTCTTCAGGTGACCTCGTCCCTTAAGGCATCCTTAAGGACCAGTTTCCAATTTATAGTCGTTATATGGGCTCAAAGGAAGCCTCAAGGAAAGGTCAATTCCAAGGAAGGTAAAGAGGTACCTTGAGCATTCCTTGATCCAATTTCTAGTATAATTTCATGAATTGGATGATGAAATTGAATGTAGTAATCGAATGAATATTCAAGTCTTGAAATTTGTACAGAGAATCTGATTGGAGTATGTCGATTTCCAGTATTTTCAAGTTCAGTTGAAAAGTAAACGGAACGCACGATGTTCTTTGAACATTATAGGGATCTCCTTTCGTGCGCTCCAAGCGATAAAAAAAAGTTCAATGAACAACCACACAAAATCACAGATTCATTCGAAGTGTCCAATCAAATGGAAATTCTTTCTTTCCCCGGCATATTATTCCATTGCAGCTTGAAAGAATCCGTTTTTGATAGAGTAACATCATCATCGATAACCTCATCGACCCCTTTTTCATTTTGCGGAACCTTGGATATATTATGTCTGTGATCAAATTAATATATGTTAGGCCCAATTTGAACTAACCTTTGAGGATTATCACTGGATTATTATGAGAATTTTTCAATGTCCACACTAAACAGTAAACATTGTCAAATTTGACATTTTTATTTTGTAACAAACACGTGACACTGAAATGATACACTGTTGCCAAGTGTGAGGGATCCTTTTAGAAGGAATGCTCAAGGGCTCCGTCTCGCAAATGCAAAATTCGCCTGTCAAACAAAGTATCACTTTTGATCCGAATGAAACTTTTCTGCAACCGAAAGAATGAACTAAAAAAAATGTAAGTAAAGTAACCGTGACTCACTTGACAGATTATTATAATAATATGAGTAAGTATAGATAGAAGCAACAGCTCAGACTACTTGACTTTGTTACGCACGAATTCAATACTGCCTATCCCCGAAACGTGGATACCGTGCCAGATTTATGCGATGTAACAAATAATCCGTGTGGTGAAAATATTCTACCTGCATTTACAGATCAGATTTATTAAATTCAAGACTTTTCAAATTGTAGTTTCAATATAAATACAACCACAGGGCACAGAGTGACATATTTGTGTGTTCCATTGAATCGATGAATCTATGAATTCATTAGGACCAATCAGCCCTAATAGCAAATACCGCGCCAGTACCAGGTATAGGAAAAAGAAGTGGAAAATGTTAGGTTAGTGAGCATGTCAACAATAACTATAGCGATTATTCATTCCTCTCCATATTCCAGTGTTTAGCTCGGTAATCAAATGAAGGTAAACAATTTCGTTGTGTGAGACAAAAAGGTATTGCTGATTATTCATAAACAAGTTATCCAATCAATAAGATCACATGGGTATGAAATGCCAAATCTGCCGAAATCTGAAACAAATCAGGTATACGTCCCAACCCAAATAACCAACCGTACCAATGTTGTTAATTCTTGATGACATGGTACATCCTTTTCAGTTCCTAGGAACTAAAACTGTTGCCTAGCAACATACCGATTTTCGTGTCAGCATGTGTTAGTAATAGAAACGCCAATTCAAGAGCTAATTTTTGTATTGAAACGGGCGACTTTGATGTCAGTTGCAGAAATATATACTTAGTTTATATAGTTTCAGAAAAGGTTTGAAAAAAAGCTTTTTTGTACAATTTTCTCAACATAGATACTTGAAACAACTCAGAGAGAACAAAAAAGTTATATTTCATTATTTTTTGTTGACAGTTATAGTTTGTCTTACCTCTGCGCCACTATCCCAATTTGATGAATAGTCGTAAATAGAATTGTGCGAGATGTCATCACTGGAAACTTCGGACAAAGGATTTTCACCGTTGCCATTTTGTGTATCATGAGCTGGAGGTGTTGAAGTACCATGCAAAGTTAACTGCCAGAATTTCACTTCATCTAAAAATAAAAACGGTGTAAGGACGACCTTCTTGTATGAACGTCAACACTAAATTCTAACTATATAATATGAAAAATGCTTGCTATGTATTATGAATTGAGTATCATACGAATTTTGAATAACCAATTCTCGTAGTCAAATTGAACAGCTCATGGCTTTCTTGGTAGAGATAAACGTTTAAGATGTGATGCTACCCAAGTACCTGATCAGTGTCCCAAATATTCAATAACAATTTCCTTTTTGAACTACAATGGGGAAGACCACTGAGGAAACAAATCCATGCAAACCTCTTTCAATCGACGAATCATGATTTATGTTTGAGGTACAATCAATATAACGAGTTGAAGTTGTAGGGAATCGCGAATCTATAGCGTTTTGAAATCAGCATATTCCATTCGATATTTCAAAAAGCCAAATATGATGGTGGAGCCGTGACGTAGTCCCGAACTGTAGCTATCTCTCTCTGATACCTCGCCATTCTACAGTGTTGCAGTGTGATTGGTCATTTCAAGCACAATAGGCGTGTTTTCATTAATAAGGCGCACCATTCACACCAATGAATTGACATCAGTTCAAATGGCGCAGGTATTGTGTTTTCAAATGGACATATTCTGATTTATTTGTTCATCGTCCTAACATGAATGAAAACATTCTAAATTAATTCACCGGTAGTTTTTCGGTACACAGTTCACGATGATGTCGTTTTAAAAAATCAGTGGTCTCCCCCATTCCAACTCTAAAATGCAATTACACAATGAACAAATTCAATATGACATAAGTGTCAAATCGATTTTCGTTCGGATTCAAATACTGTCAATTGTCCATGGCACAATTCAAAGAATGACGATCTCAAATATATGCGTTCGTGAATAAAATCATGCTTTGTGTCGGGCATCAAACATCACACGCGGGAGGAAATGGATACCTTTGCTCCCTTGATATATAAAAAGCCGTTCTTCACCTGCAATTCATATGATAATCGATTCATATTTTCAGTTATTTCATTAGTAATAATAATAAATGGCTACAGAGCTACAGCTACAAAAATAAATGGGATATACTACTTCACAAAATCACATTCGTGCATTGATTTACCCGTTTTTTCTTTTCGCTGTACAGGTGCTTTGGAAGTTCTTGGGATTCCAGTACTTTTGGGAATCAGCAATTTAACATTACGGTTTGAGTTAATATCTCGACTTTTTTCTTTTAGTTTCTGAGATTGTTTAGGTACACTGTAGTTTTTTATTACATTTCTTGAAGGAATCATAACTGGATAAGTTATAGTTATGTTTTTAACAAATTTCAAATATTCTTTCACACTATCTTGATTGAACTTTACTCTGTTATTATAATTTGATACCGCGTAAAAGTACGGTGAAACATCTGTTGACGTTGAAGGTTTTTTAGTTTTGATACTTGCATTTTGACTACATGTTACGTTTTTATTTGGGACTTCAATATTTGGTCTAGTTGGAATGTTAGGGTGTTTTGTAGTTGTGTAAAACTTTCGAAAAATTCTATTTTTTTGTTTCTTCTTCTTTTTATTCAAACTGTTCCTATTTTTATTGATTTTCTTAGGATCATTATAGTTAGGGGGAAAATGTTCAGTTCCATAGAGAAGCAATGACCAGCTTTGAAGCGTAGCTCTTCCTGCAAAACATGCCATTTTAGTAGTGTTAGTAATGTAAAATTTCAATAACATGCAATATCCACCAGAATGTCACATGTTGGATTTTGACTATGAAGAAATTTGTTCATTTTTCCTCTTATTCATTTTTGCAGTACCAAAGAAGATTCATGACATTCTTATGACATTTTTGTGAATATAATGCAAAAAGATAACAACTTGAGATTATCAATAAGAAATCACGTGTGACAGAATATGTGGAAGACACTGTAAGATGAAGACATTCCAAGAACAGTGTATTTGAAATTCAATGGTAGTCAGGTTTTCGAGATACAGGATGGAGTTATGAAAAAAAGGGGTGTTGAAAATGTCTTTGAATTCATTTAAATTTTGTAGCTTTGCGATGTTAAAATACTTCCATTTCTGATATTTTTAGAATCTGTTTAAGTATTCCGTTGGTATGCTTAGCAGTTGCTAGAAAAAAATATGTCACATCACTGTTATTTTTTCTGTAGAATATATTTTTGAGATTGAGCAATTCAAAATTCAACTTTCATATTGCCTTTTTTTGTTACCAAGTGAATGAGACCACATTGTGTGTTAAAAAAGTTGATAATATTACTGTATCTCGAAAAACAAGTTTTTTTTTCTACAGTAATGATATTAACCAAAGACACAAGTCGATGAAGGATCTATGAGACAATTCCTTGAAAAATTAGACATTTCAGTAGATACAATTACAATTACAATGTTATTTTAGTTTTCATTCTCCAATTATTGAACTAAAAGAAGAAGTTACAAGGTGATGAAGGATTCAAGTACACCTATCAGTCGTTGGATGTAGGTAATATATGAAGAATCCATGTCAATCTACGATCATTAATCCTTCATTCACGCCGTAGAAATAATAGCAGATCCATTTCAGATTCTGACAAAATTGTACTTAGTTCCGGAAAGTGATGTTGTCAGGCGAATTTCGAATAATGAAAAGTTTTCCACTTTGGAAAATTCTCAATTGTCAATATGGAAAATCAATTCGAGAATATTAATGGATAACTAATGAATTTTTCTCGTATAACACGAAAATCAATGATTCAAATTATAGATTATGGCCTATTTGGAGATATTTTACTTTGACCTTCCATGAATAAATTCCAAATTTGATTGATGATAATTGGTAACATTAACAAATACCCTGCATATTCCACTTCACACCACACGCCTCCAACTCACCCAACAGCCTCCCGTCGTTGTGGATCTCGAGCTGCCACGTGCCGAACGGCGACTCGCCCCACGAGTGCACCGACATGAAGGGCCACACGTTGAAGCCCTGCCGCGAGTTGTCCAGCGCCCTGTGCGCCAGCAACGTCACCCTCGTGCCCATCGGCGACGTCAGCTGGATGCTGAGGTCGCCGCGCCGCTGCGAGAAGATCGTCAGCTTCGCCTGCACGTGCTCGAGCACGTTCACGCCCGGACACTCTTTCACCTGCAGCTGCAGCACCACCACGCTCTTGGCCGGGATGGGCCTGGAAGATAACCCCAGACTCAATAACAATAGATAGACACCGCGATTCATTCATTAATCATTAAAAGAATATGACGACGATCCTAAACAACATGGATGAAAATAATGATATCGCGAAAGGTGGGGATAACCTCAGACTGAATGACAATAGATAGACGTCACGATTCATTAAAAAATCATTATAAAGTATACGCCAACAATCTGAGATCACGAGTGGTGGGGATAACTCTGCGAGAAGATCGTCAGCATCGCCTGGATTCACGCACGGGCACTCTTTCTCCTGCAGCTGCAGCACCACCACGCTCTTCACCGGGATGGGTCTGGAAGATGACCTCAGACTCAATAACAATAGATAGACACCGCGATTCATTCATTAATCATTGGAAATAATGTGGCAACAATCCTCAACAGCAAACACGGATAAAATAATGTAATTGCGAGTTGTGGAGATAACTCTCGTCTCTCCTAAACGGCAAAGGATGACCTCAGACTCAATAACAATAGATAGACACCGCGATTCATTCATGAATCACTAAAAACAGTACGCCAACAATCCCTAACAACAAACACGGATGGAAGAATGAAATCGCGGATGGTGGGGATAACTCTGCGAGAAGATCGTCAGCTTTGCTGAAAAGAATAGGCCAACAGTTCTGAAACCGACACACGAATAAATAAATGGAATCGTGAATGGTGAGGATCTCTGTAAAATTATTGGCAGGGAATTGCTATTCTTCATAGATATATAGTATATCCACTGTTATTCAGTCTGAGGTACTCACAAATCCCAGAAATTTCAGAATTATTATAGAAAAATGGGGCACAATAATCAAAAGTACCAAATTTAATGAGTACCTTATCGCATTCGGCGCAGTAATTTCGCACTTGTGCTGCGGAGGCACAGTCACCCAATTCCTGGCGAGCTGCACCATCGCATGGGCGTCCATGAGCCCGTACCCGAAGCTGTGGGACACGTTTCTACCCACCCCGTTCGTCTGCCAGTCTAAAGCGATGAGGTTCTGCGGCCTGGCTGTGCGAACGACGATGTGTTGCATGTCGCGCCACGTCAAATTCGGGTTGGCCTCGAGAGCAAGTGCGCAGATGCCTGCTGCCAGGGGGGCTGAGGCGCTGGTGCCCGTGTGGCTGCTGGTGCACGAATGCCTCAGGTCGGTGGTCACTATTTGGCGTTCGCCTACAGCGCCGCTGCTGCGGAAGAAATAAACGACGTTCGAAGAAAGAAGGAGAGCTCAAGGTCGTCTCCACACAGATTAATGTCTACGGATCAGCCCAAGTAATATAAATCATACAGTTGTTCCATCCCGATGTGAGAGAGCTCTCCTATTGTTGTTCAACTCCTCTATTATCCATTATTCCTCTTTTGCAGACTTATATTACTCAGGAAGAAGGTAAAGACACTGGCATTTGAAAACTTTCCACAATCAATATCTTCCTTCCAGTATAGGTCTATTTTATCTTCAAGGGGGGCACTTGAAATGAATATATTTAGCCCTCTTGGTTCAATTCCCTTCGAGGGATAGATGTTACCCTTAGAATCTCAAATGGGAAGGGGGGTCAAGTGGCCCATCATTTTGAAGGTCGCTCAATCTCTTTTTCATATCATTTACAGAAAGGAAGATATTAAGGGTGGAAGTTTTCTAAGTGAAACGGCATTTTTCGGGAACTGCTCAACAAAAAATGATAAACTAGGGTTGGAAAGAGAATTGAACGCCCTTCAAAATGATGTACCACTAGACCGCCTTTCCCATTTGGGATTCTAAGGCTAACATCTATCCCTCCTAGGGAGTTGAACCGAGAGGGCTAAAACTAATAATTTTGAGTGTCCCCCTCGATAATAAAATCGACCTGTTACTTCGATTTCTCATATTATTCACTGCAAGAAAGATATTGAGGGTGTGAAGTACAGGTAGGCCATTGGGCTCTGCATTACCTGTAAGTGGATGCCAACGTGGAACTGCACGCTTCGCTGTACCAAGGAACGTGTCCGTGTTCTGTCGCACTCGATATAGAGAGACTGTAGATAGAGTTGGTATAGCCGTCGCAGTTGCAGTTGTCGTGATCTCTTCCACCGTTCCCTGAAGCCCACACAAAGATCGAACCTTTACCATTACGTCCCTGAAAGAAATGTGATGCCATAATTAGCTGCACTGTGAGAAATATTGAATCTATGTCTGTTTATAGTTTTTAGTTAATAGACGCCTATAGCGTCTTCGAAATAGGTCGACGCATCTCGCAAGAATTTATGCTTTATGATACCATTCTAACATGTGCTTCCTGAGAACAGAGAATAACCACCAATGACGATTTCATATAAATATGAGCCGTTGACCATTTATTCGTACATAGCCTAATGAACTTCGTCAGAGTAAACAATGTAGATTTGATTAATTAGTGAAGATGGTGATAAGTATTTCAATTTCATGAACAAATCATCAAGATGATACCTATATATAATTGTAAATATGCTGAGCTTCCATTATTTCTAATATATACTATTATTGGAAATAAAAAAGATTTACTTTTCAACTAAACTTGAATCAGCTCCTACTGGAAATCGATATGGAATCAGTTTCTGTGTACTTTCAAGACTTGAATATACATTTGATGACTACACTCAATTTTATCATTTCATTCAAGTTAATCATAACATAACCTGAAATCATACTAGAAATTGGATTAAGGAATGCTCAAGGTACCTCTTTACCTTCCTTGGAATTGACATTTCCTTGAGGCTTCCTTTGATCTCATATGATAATGTTTATTCACTGAAACTACAGAAATGTAAATTCATAAATTTACAATAGTACTACAGATACAATCATTCTGCTGTCTGCAAATAAACTGAAGAACCACAAAGCCTAGTGGCTGTCCGTGGTTACAGTGGTAGCTAACGTTACCGAATAATATAATCTAGTTCTTAATTGCTATACTATATATAGAACAGTGATATGAATCTAAGTGTGGTAAAATTCAATAGAAACGGTAAATAAATAACTAACATACGATATGCACTATAAACTAGAAACTATAAAGAGGAAAGTGATAGAGAATGATAATAGAAAATATTCTACTCTGAAACCTCAAAAATAAAAAAAGTGAGATATCAAATTTCTGTCATTCGTGAGCAAAAAGAATTTGACTAATCGGGATCCTAAGTACATAACAATTTTTTTGTCCAATAGTTTTTTGCGTATTGGGAACTTGGAGTTTATTTTTTTCTTTAGCTCTTGTCGAATGCAAATGGGAGACAATTTCAAAGTTTGTTCTATTCTTGAATATGTATATTAGTGTTTTCAGAAAAAATGTCTGTCGGAGGTCTAACACAGATATATCTCGGAATATCTGTTCAGTAGGATAGGTTCTTTCTTTTCTGAGTATTATTTTCATTTTAAGATGTGATAGATCTAGAATTTTTGTTAATGTTTGACTATAAATTGAATACTGGTCCTTACGGATGCCTTAAAGGGCGAGGTCACCCCCTTACGCTCCGTACCCTCACAATTGTACGGGCATTATCTAAGTGATTTATAAGGATCAAAATATCATTCTGCTGGATTGAGAACCAGCCACTATGCTTGTGAGTGTTCTATTTGCACGGAACGAACCGCATTTGCTGCTTATTTTATCTTCAGGCGGCGTTAAAAAAATAAATTATTGTGTGGTGCAATTGGTCTCGACTGAAAAATGTTTCATGAAGGTGAGTGCATCAAAAACATCAACTATATATGATATTGTGAATGATTTTATGCATTGAATGGCATATGGAAACATGATTCAACATGGTGGTTCAAAGTGCCTGTTTCCAAAATTTTTTTCAGGATCAGATTTCAGGACATATTTGTGTACCATCATATTTGTGTGCTCCGGGAGCGTACCGCTACGGATCAATGGTCATTATCGATTCTGATTCAAACATTGCAGTATGTCAAAACTGTCCTCCATTCCAAGAATTTTGAATTTCGAAAAGATCAAGATGAAATTTACGATTTGTTGGATCAGATAGGATCAGATCTAGAAATCGATTCCGATAAAGATGACCAGTGGGAGTTGAATGCACATGAACAGGTAGAAGGGCCGGAGGAATATTCGTTGATTGGGTGGATGAAAATGCCAACAAACCAACCGTTCTCCTTGCAAATAGAGAAGTTTCTATTTCAACAAATGACAAACGATATGATGAAAATCACCACTGGCCTGTCATTGATTCGCCGAAATCACCACGGACTTGCTGACTGGAAAGTTGCGGTAGCCGTTCAAGGACGAGATGTTGAAAATGCAATGTACGTCTATGCCTGTACATGAACAATGAAAGTAATTGCCTCGTCACTTTTCATAACAAACCATAAACAATAAATGCATATTTCTCCATGATTAGCGTTTTCTTCATTCTGGGTTGAAATCCCATTTAACTCCCAAATAACACGATTGTGAGGGACCAGAAAATAATATTACATCATCCTGAAAAAATTCGAAAAAAATTCAGGAAGTTTCTGAGGTTACTCTGAGTCACACCTGCTAGGAAAATTCTGGCTATACTTTCCAAATTATTCTCGGGAGTGTAAGGGTTAAGGAGCGACTATAAATACGGGCCATAGACACGGCAAAAAAAAAAACAATCCACCCACCTTGGTGACCCCCTCGATGAACGCGCGGACCGCCAGCTCCCCAGGCCCGTCCACCGTCTTCCCGTCGTCGTCTGGGCCCCACGAGGCGCTGTAAACGTCCACGTGGTGCGGGTTCAGGCTGAGAGAGCGCGCCTCCACCGCGTCCGTCACGTCCCCGTCGAGCATGCGCACACCGCCCACCTAGATAGACAGATGGATAATAGCATGGTGGAATTACTATGGTGTGCTACGACGCATCTTCGTATACTTCACTGCGAGTAAAACAATTGCTCGCAGTCTGAGCTCACAGTTATCAGTTCGCCCGAGTCGTCGTGATCATTTTGGTGCGAGTTTAGACCCGCAATGACGTTATGCGCAGAAAAGACGAATTGGAGATACCTGTGTAGCACAACATATATACTTCCACCATGGATAATAGTAGAGTGAGTGTTTAATAAACGAGTGTCTAGAAGAGTTTATAAACGCGTTACATACAATTCTACGAACTCCGAAAATTACATTAACATACCTGCTATTCCTGCTAACCTACAAATTGATTCGAAAGGAATGGGAATTGAGAACATAATTCATGCAACTGCATGCAACCAGCGATACACGTATAAGTGATATTTGTTGTAGATGTGTCCAGTCCATTGCTTACTAACCCTTGTTTCACGTTTATTGTCATGCTTAGCGCAGAATAAATAAATTGTTCTCAAAGATGGATGCTTCATTTTTATACTCCTTGGAGATATGCAATACCTAGAACATTCTCTTCGATTTCACTTTCGTCTACATTCCGCATATATTTTCAATGGAGAACTCTGATGCAAACGAATATTATTTGAATAATTCTGATACAAAATTCGAAAATAAGAGTTGATAGTTAATACAATTGACAGGCCAGATATGTCTCAAACTCCTGAAGCTGTGTTTAATGAGCTGTGTTGCCATGGTAATGTGTTTAAGAAATCGTGTTGACATGGTAATGTGTTTAATATTTTGAATAAATCACAGATCGTCAATCCGTAATTAATCGATCATTTAGCGTGGTACATATCCGTACGCTAAATGCCATTTTAGTTATGTGCGTAGAAAAAGGTATATTTATTTAAGTGGGGCGTATTTAACAACTATAAGGAGGAAAACGCCCCATCGTATTATTTTTTCAATATAGCTCTTTCGGAAAACTATGTTACTGTTTTGTCAAAATGTGTTCAGCATACTTAATGAAATATACCGTTCAGCTGATATGTTTATGGAACTGAAATGAAAGATAAGTTTGTATTTTTGTGAAATTTTTTTTTTTTCAAAATGTGGGACGTATTTCACTGGTTTACCCTATAGGTGTTACGAACCTGCGCGCCGTACGCCACGCCGAGTGCGCACACGGAGTTGTTGCTGGTGGCAGCGACCTCGCCGGCGCACCTCGTGCCGTGCCGGTTTGAGTCGATCATGTCGTAGCGCGGGCTCGGGTCGGAGTCCTGCCCGTTCACGTCATAGGAGGCCATGGGGTCCTGAAACGGAATGAGTAAGAATTAGAGAGAATTAGAGATTTTCTATTTGTTGGCAATTGTTACTGTGAAGTCAAGCGTCATTTGTCAACAGACAGTCCTGTCCGTTCACGTCATAGGAGGCCATGGGTTCTGCAGGGGGATTCTGTTTCACGATCGTCGATTGTCGTACGATACGATGATGAACCCGTAGAGATATTCCCTACATGTAGAGATAATTTGCTAAATTTAGGGTGTGCAGGGATGTAGGGACAGATTATTCGATAATACGGAATTGTAGGGATTTTTCGACTGCTCTTGTGGCTAGACAGCCCCAGAGACTATCTGACGTATGAAAACTGCGAATTTAAAAAAGCAGATGCAGTCTCAGTTCAGAGAGCGGTCGATTATTCGCGGTCGCCAAGGTAAATTGATGATTATTTCTATAAGTGCCTTTGGTTTGACTTGTTTATGGCAGGTGACACTAGTGACAGTGACATTTGACTATAGTAGAATTGTGTTTTCAAAAATGTCTGCTAAATCCAATAAATCTTAAGGTTCATTTGATTTGTGTGGTACAAAAATCGGCTGCAATTGCAGTCATGCCCCTACATATGTGTCTGCAAGTGCAGTCACGCCCGTCAATGTGTTAGAGAAAGTTAGAGATTTTCTATTTGTTGGCTCCAGTTACTGTCATTTTTCGAATGACAGTCCTGCCGGTTCACGTCATAGGAAGTCATGAGGCCCTGAAAGGGAATGGGTTAGAATTAGAGAGAGTTAGATATTTTCTATTTGTTGGCACCAGTTACTGTCAAGTCAAGTGTCATTTGAATTTCCATATATTGACGAAGGAATCATAATCTCCGACCCCGAAAATCCCCGATACCAATCAACTCGTCCGCCATATTGGATCCGCCTTTTTGAATTTTTGAATTTTCCAATTTTGGCAAAAAAATTATAATCTCCAACCACAAAAACCCCCAGATACCAATTTTGAATAGAATCGGATCATAATTACAACTGATCCTCCATACTGTATCCGCCATCTTGAATTATCATATATTGACGATAGAATCATTATCTCCAACCCCAATAACCCTCAGATAATTATTACAAAACTCGTTCGCCATATTAGATCCGCCATCTTGATTTTTCCAATTTTGACGAAAGAATCATGATCTCTGACCCCAAAGCCCACAGAAACCAAGTTCGAATGGAATCGGATCATAATTACAAAACTTGTCCACCATATTGGAGCCACCATCTTGAATTTACCATTTTTGATGGAAGAATCATAATCTCCGACCCCGAAAACCTCCAGCAGATACCAATTTTTAATAAAATCGGATTATAATTACAAAACTCGTCCGCCATATTGTATCCGCAATCTTGAATTTTCAAATTTTTAAGTAGGAATCATAATCTCCGACCCCTAAAAGCCCCAGACACCATTTTTGAATAGAATCGGATATAATTACAAAACTCGTCCACCATTTTGAGGCCGCCATTTTGTTTTTTGTCCAACAAACATTTCATGAAGCATTGTCACCAGAATAATGTACACCTGCTAAATTTCAAATCAATCAGACGTTTTGAAGTGGGTCAAAATCACGTTCGAAGATTCTGTTACAAACAAACCCACAAATACATAGGAAAAGCTAATATGAGAGTGTCAAAAATAATACAGGATAATTCAAAATTTGATGTAAATATTTAAAGAACATACTATTGGGATTGAAATCTCATGATGATTCAAGATTGCAAAAGAAATCAACAAAGACATTCCATAATTTTTCTAGTTCTATCGATTTGTGGTAATTAAGATACAGAACTTGTATTTCACTTTCATCAAGGAGGTACTTACATAATTTTGGAGTAGATCTGGATGGTCTTTTTCTAGGCCGTCATCTAATATTGTCACTACAGCTCCCTTCCCAGTTATTCCCTCCATCCAAGCTGGTATAACATTCAAATCTAGACCCCCTCCACGATTCTGAAGAACAGAAACAAGGAGACAATGTAAAATACAAAAATACTGTGTCTAAATAGAATGAGAGATGTTCTCTTCGTTTCTGATTTTTTGTATACTACTACAAAATTATCTCAACATGTTATGAACATTGATAATATATTTTTTATTTCCGAATGTAGTTCGGATTCTACATAAAATCACAATATTTCACAAATTTCTTATATTATTTTCCAGTTGATTATCGTGATATTTAGACAAAAAGAACTCGAATAACATAAATTATCAAAGATATTTGATCATTGCTCAATTTTTTGTAAATATTACTGTTCCAAGAATCTCAACATATTTATCATCTAGAAAGCCGCAAGACTTTGTATTGAGGTAGACAACATTTCCTGTCAGGAGAATTTTGCATAACCTTGGGGGTGTTCCCCTATAAATGCAGATGAATTATTATGGAGCAAATTCAGAATTACTCTGAGGCAAGCTCTGAGGCCATGACTTTAGTTCTAATATTAATACTCCCAAATCATCCAACAAAATTTTCAAATATATTAACACTGAAAACAAGAGTTTAGTTGTCTATTGATATTAATTGCAGAAGTGAAATAACTATAATAGAAAAATGTGATATTCTTACCAAATACCACATAAATTGCCATTTCGGATCACTATCTTGTACTTTCAAGTCTCGCTTAACTCTCCTTTTTGCTACTTGCTGCTTTGCTGATTTTACGCGCGTGTCTACTGCAAGCCTAGTTACTTTCTCTGCATTTGGCGTCAAAGACCGTTTGGCTACGCCGCTGTGTGAAAAATGGTAATGGTCAGAAAATATCTGAAAAAAAAATGACAAAAATATTTCAACATGGAATGAAAAATGTTCATGTAAGTACACTCATTTTTTTCGTAAAACTGAATTTTGTTATGTTCTGGGTTTTTTTTTGAAAAATGTTTATGGTACCTATGTATTTTTGTCTGAAAAACACGAATTTGATCATGAAAATGTAAACAAACCATTATTTATTGAGATATTTCACTATGAAGTTACAAATGTTACCTTATTTTCCGCCTGTCTCCTGTATCGCATTTAGAACAATTTGCCCTTCTGTTTTCATCATTGGCCAATTTATATACAATATGATCCACTTCTAATGGACACAACCCTGTATCTTACGTAATCGTTGGGTAAGAATCCTGAAATTTGCTGGAGCGAGAGATATACCAGAAATACACTCTATGACCAAGTGGGGTCATCTTCAGTGATATACACTGCTCGCCATGGAACCACCCCAATTTCCGGAAAATTATATGAGTCAAAATAGGTTGAAAATCACTTCGGATTCGGAATCAGGACGCCCAATTCACTAACTATCCATAGTTTTCCTAGAAAATTCTCAGTTCAGAAAAATTAAATTTCGTTTCACTTCTCATGGAAGCACCCCCGTATCTCACGTAATTATTGAGGTAGGGTTCTGAAATTCGCAGGAGGAAGGGAAAGTCCAAAGATGAAGTCAATCACGTAAGATACGGGGTGCTTCCGTAAAAAGTGCGACAGAATTTAATTTTTCAGAACTAAAAATTTTCCAGGAAAAATATAAATAGTTAGTGAATCGGGCGTCCTGATTCCGAATCTGAAGTGATTTTCGACCTATTTTGACTCCCAATATCATTTTTTCAGAAATTGGGGTGGTTCCGTGGCTGTTGGCGAGCGGTGTATATCACTGAAGATGACCCCACTTGGTCATAGAGTGCATTTTTGGTATATCTCTCGCTCCAGCAAATTTCAGGATCCTTACCCAACGATTAAGTAAGATACAGGGGTGTTTCCATTAGAAGTGGGTCACACTGTACGACACATTTTTTTCTATTGTAGGAGTCACTATAGAAACATGATTTTCTTGTGATCTATCCATATTCAGTGAAAAGAAGGAAGAATATCATTTAAAATAACGGCGTGTGTAATGTCATTCAAAAGCAATTTCTTAACATTTGACATCTCGTATTTGGATTGATTTTTGATTAAATGGCCGTCATCTGATATGCTTGTTCACTATATATGAAAAACTCGCCATAAAAATCATATTTCCTGTTGAATTTTCTATATAAAAATGTGTTATTGAAGTACATCATGAGTACATAAAGTGTCCAATGACAAAATAAGAAGAGCAAGTAGCTGTAAATGCATCCAACACAAGAGGAAAAAGAAGACGAAATTTTGAACTTTTTCTTGAAATATCTCGATAAATAGTGGTTTGTTCACATTTTCATTATCAAATCCGTCTTTTTCAGACAGAAATACGTATGTACCAAAAAAAATTTTCGAGAAACAACCCATCGCATGATAAATGCAGTTTTATCATCCGCCACCCTGAATAGTTGCACTGCCCTGTATATACAGGCGACGTCACAAACTCCACTAGCGTCTTTTACGACCAAATATGAAAAAAAAGTTCCTTAAAAGGAATGAAGATGAACTTTTTATGAGTGACACAAGGAAGGAATAATAATTTGAGAATTCCATTCAGGAGCGTATCAAACAGGGTGGGTAGATTCTTTGTATATGCATAGAGCATAGACTCATGCAGGTTTTATACGAAAATTTCATTTGTCTCTAAGTATTTGGGAAATATTTAGGAATGACCATTTCAATTAAGTAGTTGTAGCTGCAATAGGGTCGGAAGAAGACTCCTACGGGAGCTCAGGACCCAGAAGGGGGACCCTGAAGATGAAATACTTAATCCGAAATGTCCCGAAACGCTTATTAATGATAAAAAATCGCACAGGCAGTTCATTAAACATGCGGCAATAAGTCAGGGGATTGTGCCTTGGATTATTTTAAGAATATTTGGTCCTCTGATGATTTTTGAGAATCAGTTTTGTGTAGGAGATACAGGGCGAACATAGTTATAAATAACGACATTTTATTGCTTAAAATACATGAAAATGTTACTTAATCTACAAGAAATGTTGAAAATTACTACCTCTACGTTTAATCGGTATTTCTTTTCGATGTCTGAACTTACCTGATATGAGTGGAAAAAATATCTGTTTTTAGTAATTGGAATGATGTTGAAAAATAATGATGAATTTGAAAAAAAAATTATGCACTACATATACATGGAAAAGTGAATTAAAAAATTAATTTAGGGTCCTATAGAACAGGGTGGACTGACTATAACGTGAGAATAGCATGACAACTTTTCAGAAAATTGGTACTTATGAGATGTTAGACCTCTTGAAAGAAAAACACTTTTTTTCAATTCGTCATCACGATAAAATACACTCACCGGCAAAAAAAACCGGCTGTCAAAGAATTGTGAAAAGTAATTATCGACGTGAATCAAAAACCATTGTGTTAAGAAGGGATCACACTTCAATTCAAAGCATGTGGAAGCTAAGTTTGACCACTCACCTTTGCCACAGGGCGTTAAGAAGATAAGGGTGAAAGAGTAACTTTTGTTTTTCCCTGTATAATGATCAAGCCATCAGCTTTTCTTAGAAACCAATATTCAGGCTAACATTCCGAAACATGAATATACGATTTGGTCGAAATTTCACCAAAATCGGAGAATTAAAAAAATTACAGGGCGAACAATTTGGCAAAATTTTTTGTTGGCCGTTTTTTTTTGGCGGTGAGTGTATTATTGTAATGGTTTCTTTTCAGGCCAATAATCTATGGGTGATTCAAAAGTAAACAACATCCTTTTAGGGGCGTATTGCTTGTATGAAAATAAGGTAAAAAGTTCTTACTGATAAGGGTCCGAAAATGCTTCGTCCCTTCGAATGGGACACCTCAAAGACGACTTTTTCAATATAACTTTAAAATCCTTCACAATAAATTTTCGAAAATTGTTACACGGCATAAATATTATGTGGTAAATGACTCTGAATTTAAAATTTCAAAATTTTATTCAGGAGCATCACATGCGGGGGAGAGTAAGTGTAAAAACATTCCTTCTTCTTTTGATATTCAGGTTATTATGATTTACGCAAATCAACAGGTTTCAGAGTCCTAAAGGGTACGCTCTATCGAAATGAACTAAGAGTACCTCTGTTACGTGAAAAATTCTAGAATCTCATAATTTTCGAACTAAATCACAATGACCTGAATATCAAAAGAAGAAGGGATGTTTTTACACTTACCCTCCCTGCATGTGACGCCCCTGAATGAAATTTTGAAATTTTGAATTAAGAGTCTTATTTACCATCGAATATTCATGCCGCACACGAATTTTTGAAAATGTATTGTGAAGGATTTCAAAGTTATAGAGAAAAAATCGTCTTTGAGGTGTACTATTTTTTAGTCAGTTTAGTTTAGTCAAAGGGGCGTGTTCTCCCTTAGGAAGCCTGAAAAGATGCCGCTTACTTTTGAATCACCCTGTATATTATAATATAAAAATGAGTCCCTATATCCCCTGGTCACGCCATCACTTGGGAGAGCTGGACCGATTTCACTAATCATTTTTTTGTTGCGTTTGTTGTCATGAGAAAGTTCTTATGAAAGAAAAAAAAACTAAGAAATTCAGGATGGCGGACGAGTTTTGTAATTAGTTCAGAGCTGCAGAGCTGCGCTACTTACCAGTCCGTGGTTGATGAATCCATGATCTCTTGCTACGTCATCGGCTACTTGTTGTCCTCCCTCTATCTCCACTGCCCATTGTTGAGTGTAATGCGCTGACGATTCGAGTATGCACGAAATAACCACCAGGCAGAAAATAAGAAAATTCTTCATCCTCCAACGCCAACAAGACGTTACCGAGCTCTCCTGCACTTTCGGGGTTCATGCAGAATCCAAATTAACTAGGACGATGTGGATGTGCAAAGGGGTTGGGAAAGAAGCTATCTGCAAAAAAATTCAAAACTGTGTTGATAATACTGAGGCTGTGTCGAGTATGTGGTTTGACCGGGCACATACGTTCAGTATGAAGTCTGACCATCGGTTTGACCAACCAGCTGTTTGGGAATATCGGTCACGTTTCAAAAAGTTACCACGTTAATTTTTGATGGGAGTCGAGTCAACCATTGGCCATCCTGGCATATCACCAATCTGGTCGAACGAATGACTAGACACAGCCTAAACTAATTTATATTCATCTGAGGCGGAAAGAAAATCTCACAGTCAACTTCCCCAAAACCATTTATTTCAACAATTCGTCGCCCTAAAATAATAAGGTTCTATCTGCTTTTTTCACCAAAATCGAGATTTTGGTATATACAGGGTGACATTTGGAAAACTTCCCAGCCGCCTCGATATCTTCCTTCCAGTAAAATTAATATTTCTGGACCTCTTGCTTCAACCTCCTAGAAGGGGTAGATATTACCCTTAGAGAGCATTATATGAAATTGGGGTCAAGATATACAACATTTTGAAGGGCGTTCAATTAACTTTCCAACTGTACCCAATGTTTTAATTTTTTGATGAGCAGTTTCCGAACAATGCCGTGCTAAACTTACGGAAGTAATTAAAACATGCCTGCACTGAGATGCATGGTTTTCAGGTTAGTATTATTGTATTGACTCTCCTTTCCATTCAAGATCTTCCTACCATTTGGACTAATGGGGAATTTGGGAAATTGAGAAAAATTACTCCTGTGGCGTTAAAAATATGGAAAGAAAAGTTATCACAACCCCCTGTACCAGGCCACTGGACTGTCTTATCTTAAAATTTTGCCAGGATTGACGGAGAAGTTTTGTGCATCAAATCCCAAATGAAACAATGTCAATACCTACATTTACACTCACATCTAATTAATCTATCAAGAAACAAAGAAATACAAATTTTTAGATCATCTTTTTCATAACTCAGGAGTTCAGTTCTACCATGAACCATGATCATAAATACAAATAATATATTCTGCAACGTAATCTCTTCAGGTGAGATATAGACACGCAACTGACATGTGAATGCGGCGCACTATTTATTTTTCCCGATAGTATAATATCCGGAAGTCTATTCCAAATGAAAATGGAAATGGAAAAACATGAACCATATTCAGCACTGCCAGGGTGGATTCACTATGCTGAAAGCTCTGTAGTGGCTGAATATGTTGATAAGAACACGTCTATACAATGAGGAAAATTCCTATTAACCATGGTCAGAAATCGAATAACCCCAGCAAGAAACTCTAATAGCATAGGGGACAAGCGAGTTATCACCTGTGATTATAAAGTCAACTTTGCTGATTATAACCCACCTGCAATTATTCGGTATAGAACTTCGCTGCCACTAGCGAGTGCATCTGTATATTGCTATTAGACGATGTTTCTGTAGTAGGTATCTGACTTTGCTACCGCTAGTCAGTGCATCTAATAATGGGAGTAGGACAATGTTATATTCGTAAGTAGAGAACTTTGCTACTCTTGATGGGTGATCATATAGATAGTTGCATGACCTTCCTACTGTAGTTGTGTAGTTATTCAGTTACTTTCCAGGATTGTTTTCATCAAGAAAGGTGAAATTTTGACTGATATCCAATTTCACTTCCCATAATTTCCACCCTGATGTTTGGTATGAATAGCAATTTATTGGTTCCTTAAGAAAATTTTTGACCAACGATCTTCGAAATTCAATGGATCAATTGATTCATGCAGATTCAGATTTTAAATAATGAATTGAATTCAAGAGGGGAAGTATTCGTAACTGTCGTGTCGTCGAGATTGTCGTCCTGTAAATGGGTTGGCATCAAGAGCCCAACTGTGAATGATTGATCCAGCAAGATCTCTGTCAAATGCTTTTATAGAGAGGGACAAATCAGCAAAATATCGAATAACGATAAGTAGGCGCTGAAATCAATCGCTGAATAACCCCAAGTAGGTTTGTCAAATATTATTTTCGTGGCAGACTGACAGTTGCATTATTGGTAGCGAGTGCAGTTCTATGCGATGAACCTCGCAGCCACAAGCATATAAATCACTAGTAGTAGTTCAAATAGACAATCATAAAAAAATCATGCTGTCCCAGAGTGGCTGCCTGATAGCGACAGCAGTATACCATGAGTATACCTGACAGGAAATTCACTTTCAGCAAAGTCGTTATTGCTATCATAGGATTTCAAAGTGCTTCTTCTATTCGAAAATGTATAACGGTAATATGATTTCTTGTAATGGTAGCAAGAAATATCTCAGCAAAAACTCTTCCCCAGTGTATCTATATAAATTATAGTAGTAGTATATGTATGAGTGTTTTTATGTACTATATTGTTAATTTGTGTGTACACAACTGTCCATCATTCACCTAGGAGGGGTCCTTCAATCCATAATATAAGTATGGTCTGTGTGGGAATGTTACTAACTCCATACCCCACCTTTGAAATTCAAAGCTCGCATCAAAATCTGGTAATTTCCACCTTGATGTTTATTGACATCTTGAGGAATCTCCTCCGGAAATATTTTTTGAATATTCAATGTATTCGTTTTTTATGAAGCTCTTCCGAAAAAATCCAGTTACATGTTATATAATCTCATTGAAAAAGTAGATCAATTTTATATCTCTATGGTCTGGATTATTTCTCAATAGGGCTCTTGATGGGCAGTATTGTATAAATTAAATCAGTGCAATATTGTGTTAATTCCAAAAACTTAAATGACCTCAATCGATCTATATCTATATGTATAATTTGGAGTGCAAATTTATTTTTCAATGAAGCCCAATTTATTTGCCCAAGTTATTTGTAGTTCTGCTTGAATCACTACAATTATGACACAGTTAAGCAAAGTTATTTCAATATACATAATGAAATAGACCAGTAGCGTACGAAGCCTGAAAAAATATTCGGTACAGGGACTGATTCGATGTATATAGTATACCACTGATTTTTCAAACTACTTTTGGTAAACATCTATTCATAAAACGACTAGTGCTTTACCCACACACCATCATCCTGTATCATCCGACAAAATGAAGATTATACAGTGTGGAAACCTATTATGGAATAAAATCCATATTTCCATACTAGGAATATATTTTGGAAAATCCTTGGACAGGACGCTTTTTATTTTTGAAAATGTATTTTTTTCACATAAAAATGTTCAACCATCTGGTCAACTTCCTGCTCTACAGATCGAATTTTTCGAGAAATCTAAATTATACAAGTTAGGTACACCGTCCTTGTTAGAGAGGTATTACAAATCTCTAGAAAACAGTATATTTTTGTTTTGTTATTTGGTTGAGCTATACCGAATTGAATTGAAAAAAAAGACCGTTGTATAGATATTCAAAAAACTGTTTTTCAGAAATAAAAATCGAGGATTTTTTAAAAATTATTTCTGTTATGGAGATACGGATTTTATCCCATCATAGGTTTCCACACTGTATAAGACTGACAACTAGTAGTGATATCATTCAGCATGAGGAATTTGACATTTGAATCATTTTTGTTTGCTTTATAGTGCTTTCTTTGTTGTTCGAAAAGCATGATCTAAAACCAAACCCATCAATTTTGGAGGTTGACACTATTGAACAAAAATTAGTAACATATCCCGTATTTCGATTAATTTGATAATCTGAGTGTTACTATAAGGTTTGAAGGTAGTATATTCATTTCGAAATATTGTTGCTATCACATCAAGTATCTATGTAATAAATAGTAGTTTAAGAAACCAAAGAAACACCCTTTTATATAGATAGTCAAAAAGATGTAGAAAATAAAATAATAAATAAAATAATAATAATAAATAAAAAATATGAGCACCTCCGTAATCAGTATATTTTATGTATCTACCATTTTCGTTCATTTTATGTATTATTGTAGTAATGACTTCGAGTTTCTCTCTCTTAATAAAAGAGTCTTAAAAAAGTGTTCTTTTAATGGAAAATTGGGGGATGTCATTGGAGAAAAACGTGGATAACGTCATACCTCCCAACAAATTACCCTGATGTGATGATTTTAACATTCTTAGAGTTTGAGCGGTTTTCCCAACAATCATTCCTTGAGTTTTTTCCTAATTGATCCGCTTGTAGGTAAGTATGATGTTTTCAATATTAAATTGTTGGAATTCAGGGAACATAAAATTGTTTTTACAATGTAATGACTTAAAAGGAATGTTTTCAAATGTTTTCTCAAATACATTCTAATGTAAAATTTTTCCGATATTCTACTAATTATCTCATAAAAAATGCTTACGTACCTACGGAAAGTGTATAATTGAACGCAAATAAACCAGTGAATGTCACATAATTATCCTAATGGAGATGTTTTGCAAAACTTAATGTTGAATGGCAAACTTCGCCATCAATAATTTACACATCCAATAGATATCAAGTTGGTATAAAAAGTTATTTTCGAATTGTGCACATAATTGATTCAATATCAGTCCAGTCCAGTTTCACAAAAACATCAACAAATCACAATTGACAATTGATTATTGATACAGGGTGAATGAGATAACGACAAAATTGATGCAGAACAAGGTGGGGATCCCGCTCGAAGCTCAAACAGTAGTTCGAATACCACTATAAGCTGTATTAGACCTCGCTCTAGGGAGTTGGTCTCCAACTTCCAAATTGCGATATATGAAATTTTACAAAATTACCTGAGTCATTCGCAGGTGGATACATTTGAATAACCCTACAGAATAATTGGGAATAATTCAATGTCTAGGTATATTCTATGGATATTTTTGTGGTTTCTAGACCCCGAGGGCAAATACAGACATACCATTATTTACTCCTTTTCGAGGCGTAAAGTTTGTTTTTACTATACCAAGGGTTTTCGTCATTTTATAAACCACTAATCAATAAAGACACAGCCACCTCTGTTGTAATTAGCCCGAATGATCAAAAATTCGCAGGAATGGCACTCGAATCAAGCAGGTATCCATCAATATAACGACTTCCTTTACTAT